TTCACCTCGAGTGGGGAATTAGAGAGCTTTGTTTTCTAATACTTTTGTGCTAGAATGACATAAGTCTTTCGAACTACATATGTTATCTTGCCCCCTATCTTTCATTTGTCAGAGTATTCGATCTTATAAAAGATAATAATATCCTCTTTCTTCCAATATCAATACATCTCGATGTAGGTTTTTTGAAGAATGAGCATTTATGCCTGAGTGTTTTGATTTTTCCACCGCCTTAAGCTTCAAATTCGCTGCCTGCGTGCTATGTTTTGAGTTTCACTGGTCTAGTTTTAAGATAATTGTACTTCTTCTAAGTACACTTCATCGCATGTCAATGGAGAGCCTGGTCTCGGTCATTTTTGGACATAGAATATCAATGAAAGGTAAATTCGAGGACTTTTTGCCGCTTTTGGTACATCTTAGAGAAGCCGGAGTATAACTTAGACATCCTTTTTGAAGTTATGCCCATCTCTCGGACAATTGGACTGTAAAATATTGAATATTGAACTCGGCATGCAGCAAGGCATATTTTTATGTTCAACATGCCGACGGCCATTCACAATTTAGCGCCTTTCTGAACATTGAGCTTGGGGACACCACAAAATAATTCGAAGAAATTTTTTATCGCGAAAATCATTTTTAAATGAAGAAGAATCTAAAAATACAATACACCAAAACTTAAATGAATTAAAAAAGACTAAAATAAAAAATTAAAACATCACGCATACTTTAGCATACATATTTGTGTGTGTATGTACATATGAACATATGTATGTATGTGTTCACACAGGTGTTAGCCAAGCGCCATATGTATGTATGTATGTATTTATATGCAACGCCAAACACAAAAACTCAATTTAGCAACGTTACTCTATGCTTTATACGCCAATAGTAGACGCTCTGCTCAGCGTAATGTTGCATGCAACGCCATTGCTCTCTGTCTATTCGACGCCACCCTGACCGCCCGCAAACGCGAATCTCTACTCGACCTCCCACTAACTGTGCTGCTAGCCAAAATGCAATTGAAATGCAGTGGTCAGCCGATTGCATTACCAACATTGGCAACAACAACAACAACAACACCAACAACAACAACTAGAAATGAAATGCAAAAAACCCAAGCGAAAAACGGATAATTTTTCAAATAGCAACCTCGGATTTTAGCCTACCACCCACCCACCTTATGCGGCATGCACATATGCAACGTTGACTAGTATGCGCCTGTTTTTACTGTCGAATTGTTGCGACGCGTCTCAACAACTCAACGGCCTGACGCGCTCTTGACCCATTCCTATGTAACGAATTGGAGCGTACAAAAATCAGCAGCAACAAAATAACAAAGAGCACTACTAAGTCGGGGGTAACAACGGCAACAACAACTAGAAAGCGGCAGGCAGCACGTGCAGTGTTTGGCATGTTTCGTGATCATTATCATTATCAAAATCAGCATCATCGCCATGTTCATCATCAACGCTAACCACTTCAGGCTTGGCAATGCCTCCTTGCGTTGACACATTCAGCCAGTTGCGTATGCTGCGTGAAGCTGGCGCCGTTAACGTCCAGCCGTCGGCGACGACTAACTATTCGTATTAACCAACGTTTGTTTGCCGCGCTGCCACACCTCTGCTGCTGACTCAATTGCTCCGCACTCACGCTAACTCAAATTTATTTATTTTTTCTATTTTACTTTTCCAATTTTATTTTCATTTAAAATTCGCCCGCCCCTACCACCATTGTCAGCGTCTTTCCCATTGCTATCATTCACATTNCGCGTATGCTGCGTGAAGCTGGCGCCGTTAACGTCCAGCCGTCGGCGACGACTAACTACTCGTATTAACCAACGTTTGTTTGCCGCGCTGCCAAACCTCTGCTGCTGACTCAATTGCTCCGCACTCACGCTAACTCAAATTTATTTATTTTTTCTATTTTACTTTTCCAATTTTATTTTCATTTAAAATTCGCCCGCCCCTACCACCATTGTCAGCGTCTTTCCCATTGCTATCATTCACATTCTGCCTATGCTCTGCCCTTTCGCTTATCACGCATGCAATCCTTTACTCATCAGTGGTGCCGTTTTCAAAACTCAAATTTGCTAAAAAAGAAAAAAAGCTTTGCCACCTTCTACCACCACCANCCACACCTCTGCTGCTGACTCAATTGCTCCGCACTCACGCTAACTCAAATTTATTTATTTTTTCTATTTTACTTTTCCAATTTTATTTTCATTTAAAATTCGCCCGCCCCTACCACCATTGTCAGCGTCTTTCCCATTGCTATCATTCACATTCTGCCTATGCTCTGCCCTTTCGCTTATCACGCATGCAATCCTTTACTCATCAGTGGTGCCGTTTTCAAAACTCAAATTTGCTAAAAAAGAAAAAAAGCTTTGCCACCTTCTACCACCACCACGCCATGTGACAACAATGCTTTCCCATTGCCTGCTGTCTGCTGCTCGACGTCGCAAAAACACCAACAACAGCCTTTTTCCATTCTTTTTTCGTATCCGAAATGCCGACATCGGCCTCAGTCGCCATATTTTTGTGTTAATTTTTTATGCCCATTTTTCCTACTTTTTCAAGCGGTCCGNTGCGTATGCTGCGTGAAGCTGGCGCCGTTAACGTCCAGCCGTCGGCGACGACTAACTATTCGTATTAACCAACGTTTGTTTGCCGCGCTGCCACACCTCTGCTGCTGACTCAATTGCTCCGCACTCACGCTAACTCAAATTTATTTATTTTTTCTATTTTACTTTTCCAATTTTATTTTCATTTAAAATTCGCCCGCCCCTACCACCATTGTCAGCGTCTTTCCCATTGCTATCATTCACATTCTGCCTATGCTCTGCCCTTTCGCTTATCACGCATGCAATCCTTTACTCATCAGTGGTGCCGTTTTCAAAACTCAAATTTGCTAAAAAAGAAAAAAAGCTTTGCCACCTTCTACCACCACCATGCCATGTGACAACAATGCTTTCCCATTGCCTGCTGTCTGCTGCTCGACGTCGCAAAAACACCAACAACAGCCTTTTTCCATTCTTTTTTCGTATCCGAAATGCCGACATCGGCCTCAGTCGCCATATTTTTGTGTTAATTTTTTATGCCCATTTTTCCTACTTTTTCAAGCGGTCCGAATGCGCCCGCCGACATATACGCAGCTGTCACGCATTACCTTTGTTGTTGCAATTGCTGCTTGCTTCCGCTTATAAGGGCTATGTTCTATCCATTGCGCCGACATCGTTCATTTTCTGCCTCCTTCCATTAGCAAACCTCCGCTNTGCCATGTGACAACAATGCTTTCCCATCGCCTGCTGTCTGCTGCTCGACGTCGCAAAAACACCAACAACAGCCTTTTCCCATTCTTTTTTCGTATCCGAAATGCCGACATCGGCCTCAGTCGCCATATTTTTGTGTTCATTTTTTATGCCCATTTTTCCTACTTTTTCAAGCGGTCCGAATGCGCCCGCCGACATATACGCAGCTGACACGCATTACCTTTGTTGTTGCAATTGCTGCTTGCTTCCGCTTATAAGGGCTATATTCTACCCACTGCGCCGACATCGTTCATTTTCTGCCTCCTTCCATTAGCAAACCTCCGCTGCGCGCATTTAATCCAACCCTCCTAATTCCCCAGTCAGTGTAATCAACTCGCCCTAACTACGCCAACCGTCCCCGTCTGTCATTACGACCACCATCGCGCCATTTCCACATACAGTTCAAAATCACCAAAGTTGCCTTCACAATGAGTCGGGAACCGTCCGTGTTCCCATTTTACCATTTCACTGCCTCATCCATCACACGTATGCTCCCAATTGTTTTTCTCCCCATACTCCACTCCTGTCCTCTCCACTCCACTCCATTTCACTTCACTCCACTAAAGTCGCGCCAAACCTCATCAGCCATTCGAAAAGTACACGCGCTCAACACACTCAGCTCAGCTGTTTCGTTGCCATCGGCAGTCGTTCAGTCGCCCCAGCCACTCACTTCTTCAGCCACGACTGTGGCGCTGGCATTGACGCGCTGCTAACGACGATCCGACATACTACTTCCCGGCCCAAACATGCAGCTCGCAGTCATTTCGTCGCGCCTAGCGTACCTACCCTAAGCCAAGCAATCGTTGGTTAGTTGAACCCCGCGAGCTGCGCGACTTACCTACGTCGGCTCATTGCTGTCTGCATTTTCAGCCAAAAATCTATACTTTACCGTCGCTTAGTCGCACGCACCACCGCTTTGTTCATTTCTCCATTCGTCCTTTCGTCTGTCCGTCAGTCATCTATTCGTTTGGTTAGCAAATTTCATTTAACTTCACTTCACTTCGTCGTCCGTCACTTTGACATTTTGCCGCCGTTATCGACGTTTCTGTGTTTTTGTCCTGCTATACTTACCTACCCCGGCACATTGTGCGCCCGCCCGTCTGTGCTGTCACTCGGCATGGCACTCGCCCTGCACAGCGCATCCTCTACACCGGCCGTCAAGCGCAATGTTTACAACCACTTGGCGCGCTCGACCAGCCTACTTCATTCATTGTTGCACATTTTTTTGCCAATTCTCTTATGCATTTCTCATTCTTCGACGTCACGCACACATCCGCCTTATCGCGAATTTGCTTTTGCGTCCTTCTACACGCGCACGCACACACACACACACACACACACACACACACCCACCGTTGAAAATCCCAACGGTGCGGAGTCCGTGGCAACACTCACTCTCTCTCGAGGCCGCCTGTCGCACGTTTCGACGCGCGCGCCCACTCTGTGCGCATGCCCATTACGTCTGGTCGTCTCTTTCTGCTATGTCCTTTCGCTTCTTCCTTTTTCGCGTGCAGGGGGAGGCAACAAACACCGCATCTACTTGCCATATATCGCCCAAATTTAGTCAATTGGGTTGGGGTGTAGCCAAAAGCGTTGCGCTGCGGTGTGGTGCGGCTGTGACGGCGGAATATTCCGTTTTATCAAAAGTTAAAACTCTATTGCATGTTTCTGTTTTGGTCAGTCAGCAGTTGTTATCCGTGGCGTTAGGTCTAGTCGAAGCCCAAGAAGCCGTATGCGAGGTGAACAGAAAACGTGGAATAGCGGATTACAATACGATAATTAAATAATATGAAAAGTGGAAAGAAATAAAGAAACGGAGAAAAGCAGTAAGAAAAGAAAAAATAGAGATTAGAGATTGAAACAGAAGAATAGCGATAAAGATTACTCTGCGTGTTTGTGATTGTCTTAGAAACCATAAGTGACCACAAAGTGGATCCCAACGGTTCGGGTGCTTTGCGAGTTTTCGAAAACTTTGTTTCGAAAAAAAAAAATTGTGAAACAGTGAAAAAGTTCAAAATTTTGCTAAAAATCGAACCACATCTTGCGAGAATATATTTCACAAAGTGCAGACCTTACGAATTTATATGCTGAAAGCCTCAAAAAATATTTCACTAACTGCAGCGCTCAGTGACCGGTGCTAAAAAATATACATATATTCAAGGCTTTATTGATAAGACCAAAGGATTTCAAATCAAAAAAAAAGAAGTAAAACAAACAGCTAAGCAGAATTGTATGTCGCAGCTGCGTTTAGTTAATCGCTTCTTAAATCGCTTGTCGTCAACACATCAAAGCGAAGCCGTTGCTTTTGATTTTCGTTCATCGGAATTTCCTGTAGTCCAAAGCCGGCGTTCAACGCATTAAAAATATCCAAAATTCCGAAGAATCCGAGAAAAACACCAAAACAGTCGACACGTGCAGCGTCGTCAACCGGTGTCGGTGGTAGCGGTGGTGGTGGCACCACTAAAATGGCATCGAAACGGAAAGCCTCGGTGCTGCTGCATAAGGTAGGTGAAAACTTTTTGGTAATTCAGGGAAGAAAGGGTATTCGGAAGGTCTGACGATGGAAAAGTCAGTCAAAAGGCAGTTGAATTGAAAATTACGGTAAAATATATTGTATTAATTATTTTGATAACCTTCAAAATCTCGAAACTTTACTCAAATGTGAAAGTTTAAATGGAATTTTCTTTCTCGCTTCGAGTTCTGCTTCTTTCACTGAAAACCATGCTCGTTTGTATTTTACCACAAATATTTTCCAAAGGCTGTTATTATTTCGGCTTACCACCTTATATGTAAGACCTTATGAGCCGGTAGAGAATTGCACTCATTCCGCAAATGCGATTACCGACGCGAACGAAAAAATTTTTTTATTCCCTGTATGAGAAAATATGAATCAACTAGTTCCCACATTTTCGTGGACAAATCAAAAACAAGTTTAACAAGTTTAAGTGGTTTTTAAAAGCAATCGATCAACGACAGACAATGAGAAATTGATTGAAATTGATCTTAAAATCTGCGGCCGGACTTCAACATTCGCTATCGCTAATTTAAAACGCTAAACATCTCCAAAACAAAAGCAGGCGCGCCTAACAACATGCAACATCTAGCTACATGCTCCCCAGACTGCCAGATTTGGCTGATTACAAATTGCATCTGTTACTTTTCCGTGTTGTATACTTTTAGGCGCCCCTGATTTTCATTTAGAGTATTTCGCCACGAAAATTTAGCTTAGCAATTTACTCAATTCCCCTGCAGGTCTTATGAAATTTTAAAATCAGCTTTCAGATTGTTAAACATGGTTTTAAAGAGCAAAATTTTCAAAAATTACAAAATATATTTAGTTTTATAATAAAGTTTGATTTTTACAGCTATACGGCATTGAATTATAAATATTTGTCTAGAAATATTAAAATGAAGTTTAAGCGATTTTAACCCAATTTCCCACACTAAAATTTCATATATATGAAAAAGTTAAAAGTTTAAATTTGACAGTAAAAAAATTTTTGTCACCGATCCCGAATTGGGATATAAAATTAACTCTCAAATTTTGTATACTTTATCTCAAATATATTTTGCTCCTAAAATTGTAATGGTATAAATATTATTTTAATAATTTTAAAGCAGTTATTTATAAATTACCTGCTGCGTATTTTTACCAACTTTAAGCTTAAAGCGCATTTGAAAAAATTTTTCTTGAGAATTTGCAAAACTTTTTTAATACTTTTCAGTTATGTGGATGGCTGTTTTTATTTATAGTTCAGCCAAAACCTGATTTTAGCACTAACAGATAGTAGAAACCTGATTTTAGCAAACTTTTTTTTATCAAATATTCATTCGATGTTTTTTTTTAGTTTAGGATCATTTCAATCAGGTCCCATTGCTCACAAAGACAGTAGGTTATGTGCTTGCTGATTTTAAGTCCCCCCTACAGACAGTTTTTGCATATTCAGTTGGTAAGAGTACGCTGATCAGTGTTGCCAGATTTTCTTTTTGCAAAAACCGTTAATTTCCAAAAAGTCGGTATTTTCGATAAAAAAAAAAACTGCAGGAGCTCTTAAAAAATACGTCTTTTTAATTTTATGACACAAAAATATTCATTTAAAATAAAATAGCATAAAAGGCCTCTTTTACTGCACTAGGGTACTCCAGTGCACTAAACAAACAGACCTAACCTGTTTAATATAATACGTAACTACACAAAAATTTACTTTGTAAAATGAAATATTTAAATCACATTTTATTTTAATGAAATAAAGTTTAATTATTTTTCGTAAATAGCTTTCTATATTATTTTGAGCATTTAATTAGGTAGCTACTGAAGCATTTTGTTTTTAGGAAATATTTACTTCCTTAAATACCACAGAGTTTTGGAATTTCCAGTTTATTCTAGTTTTATTCAAATTGATTTGGGAAAATATTCCTTCTACATTTGCTTTGGCGACTGGAATGGAAATCATTCGTTTGAAATCGGAAATTTCGTGAGAAGATTGTATTTTATACTAACTAGGAGGCAATTGAAACCTGTAAGCTTGTCTAAAAAACTGAAATTTACTGCTAAAACTGTGAATCTGGCAACATTGGCGCTGATTAACTCAGTGAGAGGGAAAACCAGAGTGTTGGCATGTACGTTTATAAACAAAAATATTTATTGAGTCAAAACATTGTGCGTAGACCATTTGGCTGTTGGTGGTCATGGAGGGTCCGCAAAAAACTCCAAAGGCTTGTCCGGCGGATGCGTCAGACTAGGCTTACTTTGATAAGTCCTGTTATATGACATTTGAGCAGTGCATATCGCTAGCTTAGCGTAAAAAGTTTCTAAGACCACTTTTCATGAAAGATCATATTTTAATGTAGGGAGCAAGAGAAATTAAAAATGCACCATTTCGAAAAGTATTAAGCTACTTTATTTTTGATCGTTTATTTATATTCAATGAAAGGCAAATTTAAAAAGTCCAAATGAGCCACCAAAAATCCGATAAGGTCAAAATAACACGAAATCTCTTAATAAAGATCACATCGCTCTAATTCGTATAGACTCGCGCTGTAATCAAAGCTTTGCGAAGTACTTGAAGAAAATGGCTATAAGAAGTTTTTCCCACTCCTGTAAAATTTGTTAAAATGTAGGTACTTAGCACCTTTTAACTCTCAGCTAGCGATACGTAAAAATTGCATAAATGGCATAAACGAAATTTTTACTCATGCCGCTGTGCACACGTCTTTGCTACCCTTTTTATGCGTATTGATCGGGGATGTAGTATGTTTTTAGGTGCCAGGTGCCTTCAAACTCGGATGATATTTACCAAGAATCCAGAAAAATGTTTCACTTTCATCTAAAATGCTAAAATAACAAGGGAGTGGAGTAAAAACGATCGATGGTAATACGAAGAGTATCCAGGAGCACCTCTTGTGCCACTATACACTTTACGACAACCTAATGTAACAAAAGTGGATTTTAACAAAAGTGTACCTTATCAAACGTCTTTGAAATCGGAGCATTATTTACCAATAACTCTGAACTCTGACACAATTGATGGCCATCGCAGCAGTTTGTGCGCCGCTGGACCTACTTGCTTAGCATTCTGGTGCAGTACTTATTTCTTTCCACAATTTTTGAAATTTGTTATCTACTGAGGATGTAAGATCTTTTCCTTGTGGTTGATATGAAAAACTAAATTGAACGTTCGAATAGCTTACACTTTGTTGATGGCTGCCGTTCTCAATACACTCGAGGTGGAGGAAAAAAGTTTCGATTAGTAGATCACGGACTTAACTTTGACTGTCTGTAACTTCGGAGCTAATTTTTCCGACAGAAAGGTCGACGAACTTGATGTCGATTTCAGCCATACACGTGAAGCAGGATCTGGTTTCTTCTCTCTCAAACTGTTTTTGGAGATAAGCTTCTAGACTGCCAGATTACTAAAAAGCATGTAACTGACATGACGGTGAAGACTGTAATCATGCAGAGGTGGTAAATGATGTTTACCATTGGCTACAGTGCCTACCCACATTTTTAGTTCAGATAAATATATATATTTTTTTTTNTTGTACACAATTGGCAAATAAACATTCCCTGTGCCTTGCCTTCGTCATCCCCATTACTCGCCTAATATTTGGGGTAATTTCCATCAAAACTAATGCCTAATCAATTTCGAAGTAATACTTTGCCCACAGACTAATGAAAACAAATACATACATACTATATGTATAAATACCCATAGAAGAATTATGAAGGGACGCACCTTTGTTGCCTACTCATGGATTATTGTTTCAGGAAAACTTTTTTTCGCCTTCTCTTTGCATTTAAAATAAGCACCGGCGGGCTGCAAAGACGATGGTCGTAGGATGTAGAACGAAACTTACTAATTTCCTATGAAAAAGAGATGAACCAAGCAATGCTTGGCAGAAAGCTTTTGCCCCACAACCTCTGCCATGAGCATAGAATATTTTCGTCTTCACTCAAAACTCTGGCAAAGTAACTAAAGCAAGCAAAATGAAAGCCACACACAAATGGAGAAAATGCTGCAGAGACTAAATCAAAAAAGTTGCAAACAAGAAAAATGAAAGTACCAAGCGAATACAAAGCTGTTGGAGGAAATAGAAGAAAAGTAGGTGTAGAGATGGTAGAAAGCAAAAAAAAAAAAAAGTTAATCATGCCTTGTGCGCAATAAATCCCATTTTGCAATGTACCAAATAAATATAATGGATGGATAGAAGATGACCCTATGGACGGACTGAAGAAGTTGAAATATGTTTGCTTGGTATGCTTATAAGTATGTATGTATGTACGTACATGTGTGCGATGTGAGCACAAAAGTTTGCAGGATATGGGGGTAAAAGCTATCAAACTTGGCAAAGTATGTACCCCTTCCACAAAAAGAGGAGCACAAGGCGGCGACGGCGAGCAAAGCACACAACTAATGATACCAGCATTGTATGTAAGGATGTGGCCAGCTTTCTCACACACAAACACAAATATATATGTATGTTTAATCGCGCTTTTAGATGCTAGTCCGCTAGTCGCTGTGTGCTTGCGCCCCATTGCTGCTTGCTGCGCTGGGTAATGGGGTTGTCAGGCTGATCAGGTTTCCACTTGCATAGCTTGCGTGTGGGCGTTGTATAGCAATCGGAGACAAAGGGATAGCAACAGCAGAACAAAACACGTAAACATACATACACATATCCGCTATCACCAACCTAACTGGTCAGGCGAATGACCCTTTTCCTCCTTTTGGGGTGTTTTGTGCGTTTTTGTTGTTGTGCCTGTATGTTGATTTTCTTTGGCTGTCCAACTCCCGTCTGCTCGCGGTGTGTTTCTTCACATTCAATACTCAGCTGCGGCTGCTTCTTTGAAACAAGTATCGGTACTTGTGTTTTGCTGTCGACTGCGGCGTCGTTGGGTGCACATTTGTGCTTAGGGTAGTGCGGTACAGTGTGACAGTTTTCACTTCTAAGTAAATTTAACCATTTTGATTTTTGAGATACAAAAAAGTTTTTTTTTTTAAATCAG